GATGAGTGGTGTATGATGAGTGGTGTATGATGAGTGGTGTATGATGAGTGGTGGTTGAACAGCTGTTGAATGTCCGTAACACGGAAGTTTTGCACACTAAACTTCCTTTGATGATGTGCTGATCAGTTGAGATGCTTTTGGGGGTTCAATGTAGCAAAATGCCACACATGGAGTGCTTGGGACTGGGAGAAGAGTCTCTGAAGCTAACCGAGGACCGACCTATTACTGTAACAAAAGCATTCTTTGGGGAATCAAAAAAGAACTGAATCAACTGGAATGGGATTGGAATGGGGACTTTCATTTGAAGTTCAGACACTTCATTCTTTGTTGAATGGGAATCAACTGGAATCAAACATCTCTCAGCCGCAACACACAAAGGCCTCTCCCAACGCAAATGGACTTGCCGTGGATATCGGAGGTATGAGGTTACCCCTTCGGATCACCTCCCGCGACTTGCTCGACTCCTCGCCTTTCAAACGCCGCGACATGCTCAAACGCCGCGCGCGCGAGGTGCTACGTCAAGCTCTTGGAGGAACTGTTGAAGCGACGGGCGGATCCCAACCACGCGGATCGGGCAGGCGGAGCGTGTGGGCCGCCGCACGCAACTCTTCGGTGGGGAGGGTGGGTTGGGTGGATGAAAGAACGTCATCGTATGTCATCGTTCATGAAACAACCAAAAGGAACGGAGACAAGATGTTTGACCATTTAGGTTGGGGGTTGGGGGTTTGGGGGGGGGATTGATCCCAGACCATCCATGGGAGAATAGTGACCCACGTGCATGGGTCACGTTCACGGTGTAAGTGTAACTCTTCCAGTCCCATTCTTCTGGCCTGCGAGCCTGCGAATCAACAGTCGACACGCCGTGCCGGAAAGCGGATCTTCACATGGAATGCATCTTGCACTTGCTGTCGGAGTCCTTCTGAGTCTGGCCCGCTTCACGTGGCGTTGTGGTTCTTAGCCCTTTTTTGTTTAGGGTTTATTTGTCATGTATTGATTCTAAGATATTCTTATGTTTGAATCGTTCTTCTTACTAGATGTTGAGGATGTTTTGTCGTATGATGATGATTTATCTTTTCCACCTCTCCTCAATTCAAACAGCTTCTCTCAGTTTCATTTCAGGATTTTTCCATTCTCCACCAATCGCTCGCTACGCTGCTTGGAGAACACCCCAGAAACAGGTCACCCTGCTCCGCTCCGACCGCGGACCGCGCAGCCCGCGCAGCCCGCGCAGCCCGCGACCGGTTCAGGCGAGACGTCGCTCTTCGCCTTGGCTCACTCGATCAGTTGGTGTGATCAAGCGCCCCGGCACCGGCGTGCCACCGTGCAGCGCTTGGTGGAAGGCATGGATGGATGGATTGCAGACGGAAAAGGAACGGGAGAACGGTGGATGATGGTGGGTGTGGTTATGGTTTGTTTGGTTTTGGTTTGTTTGGTTTTGGTTGTCAGGTCAGCTTGGTGAATTGGTGGGCACTAGTGAGTGTGATGAGATCCCACCCTCAGGTAGCTGAGACCTTGAAGCACCGGAAACAGCCACGAGTCGTCGTTTGGTGATATGTCGTAGACGGAACCGTTTGGAACCAGCAGACTGGAAGCCGTTTGGGTCTATGTTTTACGATGTTCTATGTTATGATTCTTTATGTTCCCTAGGGCTCCTGGCTTACCTCCGTTTCGGTTCGGTGGTTACGGTAGATGTTTGGGGGGTCTAACCACCGAACCTGAGGAGATGGGACAGGAGCCCTAGGGGTTATTTGTTCGTTGTGCCCAGCCACCGTGACCAGGTCACTGGACCGGCTAGGGATTGGCCGGGGGAGTGGAGAGTCTACCAGGTCGGTCTCTCGGTCCAACGATCTCATCGGATCGGCTTCCCGCTTTTTAGAGTTCATTCGTGTAACTTGTGAGAGAACCCTAGGGAAGGGCTCCTGTCCCATCTCCTCGGGTTCGGTGGTTAGACCCCAAAAAATCCACCCGAATACCACCGAACCGCATTTCAGGAGGTAGTTGGAGGTGTAGGGAGGGATCCTTAGGATTGTTGGCATGAAAATCAGGTTGGAAGTTGTAGGTTTGATGTTTGAAACACATGTTCTGTTCACACCTGCTGTCAATGTCCACCTTCCTTGAGAATATTATCCTTCGAACGAAGACCATCCACAATTCGCGGCAGGGTCATCCACACCCAGACCATCCCAGGAAAACTACCTGGAAGAGTTACATTACATGGGATGGGTATTTTGCAGTCATTTTCAGATTTCCCGCAAAACCGCTTGAAACCTCATCAAACCACAGGATGGATGTTGGAGCATGTGATGGTCCACCTGATGGGTCGCATCGGGACCATCTCAGCTCCAGTCGGATCTCCTCGTATCTGATCCAGCTCACCCAGACACGTCCTGGAAAAGGGACTGGCATACCCAGACACGACCCGTCTGGGACTGCCAGTTCGGAGTGCCGCCCAGCCAGATCCCCTGGCAACCACCCCAACTGATCGGCAAATATACCAGTCCCATGGAGCGTTTGGGATATGTACATGGGGTGGTGGTGGAAAAGGGATGAATTGAGGTGCTCACATGAGTGCTCACATGCTCACATGCCATGGAGTCTTTGGGAAAGTAGGATTAACAGGATAATTTAAGACGGGGTCCATCAAATCGGGATCCACTTACGAGGTAAATGTGCCAGTCCCATTGAGTGTGTGGGTCAGTGTTGTTGAAGCGAGGAACAAATTCAATACAAAACATTGAGGTGACATTTATTGGGTATTAAACCTACACCCTTGGAAGCTTACATCTAACCAACCGTGGGACTGGGAAGATGTAGCAACATTATATATGATCATTATGCTACATTGACCCAGAAAGACTGTGATTTCTCATGATTTCTCGGTGCGAACTGAAGTCGACTGGGCCATCGACGTGTTCGGCCATTTTGTTCCCCGGCTCAACCGTACCAGCGGTACCATCTCCGTGTCGCGACCGCGACCGTTTCCCGTTCGGCGGGCGCGTCTCGAGGGGCGGCGGACGTGAACTTCGCCAACCCCCGCGGCAAGACACCGCTACACGTGGTGAGCATCTCAGTGGCGGTGGAAAGGGGAGGTCTGAGGGTTTTGCCATCTTGGCCAAGAAACGGGTGGGTGGTGAGGTGACTGGGGGTCAATGGGGTTTGGTTGACGCGTGGGATGGAGGTTTCAGGGGTCGCTGCCGGCGACGCGTGGAGCGGTGGCGTCTTCGAACCGCTCGTACGTGAGGGCAAACCGCTGTTCAGTAAGGGCAACAAAAATGCGAACAACAACTAGTAGCTTCTTGCTACTAGTAGCGATGCCCTGTGTTACTAGTAGCGATGCCGGGTTTTTTCTAATACTGTAGCTTCTTGCCCTGGTACAAGAATGGTGGCTCGAAGAAGGAATCCATCGGACTGTCAGTTTCTGTCGGTTTCAGGGGAAGGGAGTCTGGAGAGTAAATCTAGATTCATGTGCTTCTGCATTGAACCCTCAGTTTCACCACCCGAACGACTAGGGTGCCGGCCACTCGTGGCGTGGAGGTGACGTCATTCCCAGACAAGGAATCGATGGTGCCCCAGAAACCCTGAACTTCCAATCCCAGACACTCCATGGGACTGCCATATATGCCGATCAGTTGGGGTGGTTTTGGGGGTCAATGGGGCGGCATATATGATATATGGCAGTCCCATGGGTCGTGTCTGGGAATGACTCATGAATTACCCCACCTGGGTGTCATACTCCACCACTACCAGTTCGGGGGTGAGTCATGACTGGACTGTCATGGAAATACCACCTCCAATGTAGAGGTCTATGGGGGATGTGTTTTGACTTGTTCCGGGCGGACAAAACTGCTCCCAAGAATCAAGTACCCAAAATCATTGAACATCGTCGGAATCCTGATGGCGAAAGTGGCAGACCATAGCTGAAGGTGCGGATGATAAAACATGATAGAATCCATTCTCAGTTGCTTGTGGGACTCTGGTACTTAGCAACTGGATCCTAGCAATATTTAATATTGTTATTCCATGTTGGTATTATATTGTGGTGATGTCTAATTGCCCGGTGTTTGACTGCTTTGGAAAGATGAACCGTGTCCCTGGTTTGTTTGGGTATGTTGAGTTGAGTAGTATGGAAACTGCTGCGCTGCAATTGGTGTGTGTTTTTAGCGTGCCGAGTGGAAGATGTTCCTTGATTTCCTTGGTCCCATGAAGCCACTCGGAACATCGGACGGAAGCAGTCGTCATTTTGGAACTACATCAACCGTCAAGTGATGTGACATGTACAGCAATCGTTGTTGCTGTGGACTTCCCTCGATAGGGTTGCGGACGGAAGCCTAGCACTCTTTGCCCAGATGTTCGACGCCGACTGCAAATTCAAAGTACCGGATTTGCACCCTCAAAAACATGGGTTTTGAGGGTACAAACCCTTGTTATAGAGGGTTCGATCCCTTCTAAGGAGGGTCCAAGGATCCTTAGGGTACGGTACCTCAAGAGTACAAAGACCGGCAATTTTGTGTTGGAGGGAGATCCTTCTACATGATCCGTCTCTATTCAAGCGACATGTTGATCGACATTCCATGCACGCTGTTTTACCTGTTCGCAGATCAGGAGAGCCTTCTTCGCCCAGATTCTGAACTGAGGTATTGGATGTTGAATGGGTCCAGCTGGATAAGAAGAATGCTGGGCTTGACACAGTCACTGAATGGAAGGAGGTTGTTGCCAAAGCCAAGAAACACAAAAGAGATGTCTACATTGGAAAGGTGTTTGAGACCTGTGTTGAAAAGGGCAGTGAGTTACCGGTTTGGGCCATCTCTCTGATTTTGTTCAGGGGCAGAACCGGTTTGGGAAGCAATGTCCGCAATGAAAACTCTGTCGCACATTGTCGCACATTGTCCAGTGAATAGTCGGATCTTCTGCCACCATGGAAAGCTCATGCTGGTCGGGACGTCGTGCTCATGGTTTTTTTTGGGTCACAGAGCATGTCGTGCTCAGCAAGCCAATCAGAATCCGGTGGCCATGGTGGGAATCGAGACTTGAGTCGAAATGCCACCGGACATGGCCAGCTTGATCCAGCTTGTCGTGAAATGAGTTGGTTGTTCCAGCTTGCAGACTTCAAATCACTTGGATTCCAGACCACCTTTGGGTCTAGGCCTGCTCGATGACAGGACTGCCAACTGCCCTTATCCACTGACCTTGACCTGCTTGTTTGTGGCAAACACGTCGGAGAAGAGAAAGTGGACCTGGCCCGACACCTTTGCCAAACCCGTCGGCCCTGGTCCTGTTTCTTTTGAAGTGGTGGAGGACACGTTGGTGACCTATTCGGCCACACACAACCCGTTGCTGCATTTCAGTTGGATCCGCAAGTGGTTTTAACCCTCTTAAGACTCTCGGTGACTGTTTCCTTCTTCCTTGGGCTATGGATCCCGCATGGTTGGGAGGGTATAGTCATGAAGAACCCCATGTTCGTTCCATTTACGCCTATACCAACAACCTCAAACGAGACAAAGCATGATGTCAGGTCAACCCATGCGCTTCCTTCAACATTAGAAACAAGCAAAGGCTTCAACCCATAAGACTTTTGGAGACCTCTCATCCTTGTCGATGATGCATGATAATTTTGCAATCTTAGTATAATGTCATAGTTTGTTAATGTATATATATATTATATAATTCTATAACATGGTCATTGATGATTGATAATATTGTGTTATAAGTTGTGTCATGACTTTAAACCTTTGGGCCATCATGCCTAAGGAATGGACCTTCCATCCACCACGCCACTCGTTACGCTCTCCACCCCCGCTCTCCAGGCGGCGGGCCACACGGACGCCGCGGCCCTGGAGGCGCTGCTGGCGGAGCGCGCCGATGTGGATGCCCGGGACCTGGGCGGCTTCACCGCGCTGATGCCGCTCGGACTGAAACGAGGTGACGATGTGGAACGCGGGGGTAGATGGATGGTGACGATGTGGATGGTTTGATGGAGTTTGCGAAGTAAAACCGGACATGGATTGTAAGAACTTGTTCTATCTTGTTCTATAATTAGGGGGGAGTTCTTGAATCAGATCGAGTCATGCCTTGACTCAGATCCAACAGCATGTGTAAGAGGTGCCATGTTCGGTGAGCATTTTTTTTTGTGGACAACGGCTCGTTTCAATCAGGAGATCAAGGGATCAGTGCAGCAGTGCGGGCCAGGGTGAGGATAACTGATGAAGCCAATCAATGACCAGGTTCCCTTCATAGCCCAATGCTGCTCACCCAGACATTTGATCATGACGCGTTAATCGCTTCAATGCGGGACCTTTGGCTAGGCTTTTGGCCACGTCACATTCCCTTAACATGAAATTTGTTGTTTTTCTTTGGGGCATAAGTAACATGGGCATAAGTGACACATTATAGAAGTAAAAGAAATCAACAGGAGGTCCTCAAACTGCATGTTTGCCAGTGTCCTCGATGTTTTGCCTTCTCTTGAGCATCAGATGTTTTGTTTTTTCTGAACCGGAACGTTTCCAGCGTTGAGACCCCTTCGAGATGGTGTCAGAATCAAACTGACCACAGGTGCCTTCCCCTTACTTATCTCCCTTGGGGCTCCGAAGGTAGGGACAGACCCCACTGGCACCCACCCCAACCACCTTCACCTGAGGATGTGAGGGATGTTTAATAACAACCCCTTATAGACGAGGTGTTCTTGGATGTCAACTAAACACCACCTCATCACCCCCTGCCGGCCCTCGTAACCCTCGTAGGGTTCGTTTCGTAGCCCACAGGGTTTGAGGGTCCAAGGATTCCCTAGGGATCCGTTTTCGTACCGAACCTCAGAAGGTACGACTGGATCCTCCTGGCACCTACATAACAGTGTCTCCAATCACCTTCTAACAAGGTACTTGGATCCTTAGGGATTCTTAGGACAAGGCGATTCTCAGCCTTTGGAGTTTCTCAGCGTGTTGGCCATCTCAGGTGGGCGGCCGGCCGTGGCCATGGCGGCAACGTTCAGCGGTTGCTGGATGCGCGAGCACGAAGTGACCTGAGCGCCAACCGTGGCTTGGCAAGTCGTTCCGCGATGCAGAAGGCAATTTTCTGTGTTGTTCTCTCCTGCCAGGTGAGGGTTGTTAGATTTTATCAGAGCTCTTCTCCTCTCATCCTTCTCCTCCTCCTCTCCTCGTCTCCTTGACTACCGCACCTGAACTGCCAGCTCCAGATCGCGGTGGGAACTACCGGACCTCAACAGCAAGCGCGAGATCGCAGCGAGCAGTGCCGGACCTCAATAGCAAGTGCCAGATCGCAGTGGGCACTACCGGACCTCAACCGCCACCTCCCGATCGCAGTGGGCACTGCCTGACCTCAACCGCAAGCGCCAGATCGCAGTGGATACCGGACCTCAACACACAACACACAACCAGACAACATAACCACAGAAAAAACAAAGCACAACCACAAACAACACACAACACACAGTCAACAAAGCACCACGACAAAGCACACAGCCGCAAGCACACATTCACAAACACAATCACAAACACAACTACAAACATACAATCACAGACACACAACCACAAACACAGTCAAAGCACACTCACAAACATACAATCACAAATACACAACCAACAAAGCACAACCACATATGGGAGTCGTTCTAAAACCCGTGTAATGTTTTTAGTGGACGAGTGACATTCTAGCTTTTTGAACTTATGTTTACCTGCAGGGGCGAAAGGATGCGAGAGCGCGGCGAAAGGTTTGGCGAAAGGCTAAACTTGATAGAAATATATCATAGATAATTCATACATGTATGCACATGTTGTGCATACATCTTTGTGTCTAAAACAAACAGAGAGAGTGGTTTCCATGCAAGGCGTGATAGGCAGAAAGCTGCAAGAGTAGTGGCTCAGCATGTAATATCCCCAAGGATATGTATCACCAGCTTAGTGAACACCCCAGCATGTCATAGATGCGTACGAAAAGAAACAGACAGCAATAAGAAATCTTGCAGACGGATCACAAGAGAAGATTCAAGTAGCAAAATTCCCCAAACCGAACGAGGAAAAACGCGAAAGCTTCGCGAAAGCGACGCGCAAGGTTGGCGAAAGACGAGCCTGCCCGAAACCATCGGGAGCCCAAATGGGCTAGTCCAGAGTCCACGCCATGTCGCATCTTGCTTTTCTTTTCCAGGAATGGGTGAACAACAACTGTCCCGAAGCCAAGCGCCCCAACCGCAACACCACCTTGCCCAATGCAAGTGCCAAACCTCATCAGTGACAGGGAAAAAACTGCAAGAAATCATGCGAAACAATTACTTCGAAGACGGAGTCGATGGCAAGAAAAGAAGCAAGCTGCAACGAAAGATGTCCTAACGCCCATGAAGGAGAAAAGATCTACCGAGCGCCCTTGGAATAACGGGAACCAAAAACCAAAGTTATCCAGAATCCACAATCCACACTCCCCAAAGTAGTAAGTAGCAGCGGCACATGTATTGTTGCATATACGATGGATGAACTTTTGTGGCTCTACTCAGATCCTCCACCGAAAACAAAATAACGAAAATAATATCATATATCCTAATACATTTTACATTGGGGGCGAAAGGATGCGAAAGATCCGCGAAAGCGCGGCGAAAGAACAATTTTTGGGAACCATAATATTGAACAACCCCCATATGCAGACACAAAGCACAACCACAAACACCAACACAATACAGAACTAACAAAGCACAACCACATATGCAGACACAACGCACAACCACAAACACCAACAAAATACACAACCAACAACAACAAGGACAAGCACACAAACGCAATACAAAACCAACCAAACACAACCACAATGAGTAAGCGCGGCGCAGCTCCAGACACGTGGAAGGGCCTGCCAGTCAAGTAGTTGCAAATACCCAAGTCGCTGTTGCTTTGCAACAACATGTATGATAGTAGGCGATTATGATCATAGGTATTCTGGTAATAGTCTATGTGTAGGAGCACAAACCAGATTTGATGCCAGAACTACAGTGTTTCAATACACCTACGTGAGTCACTGTGTTTGTTCATTTCCCACCATGACATGAAATCAATTGATTGAAATGGAGGTGTGGCGAATGTCCTAGCACGGCTTTTTTCAGGGACGTGCGTGATCTCATGGACATCAACTGCTCCAGACTGCACAGGGCGCAGTGGGCTTTCAGTGCGGTAACGGATGTGCACGCGAGATGGAATGCTGACGATGAGCAACGGTGGTGGTCCTTTCTACGGCGCGCTGTACAAGGGCGCCACTAGGAGTGTGGCCGAATCCGTTTTTGTCACACACCTCCTCCAGGAAATCCGGGAGAAACGCCTGGACCTGGACGGCATTGCCGAAACCCTCCACACCACACAAGGCACCGACATCCCCAGCAAGACAACACGGCACGGGCTTTCCACGCCCCTTTGCATCACGACCGATGCGAGGGGAGAGACGCTCATGACCGACGAGCGCGTTTAGTTGCGGATGCATTTCAATGTGCGTATGGCGGTGTGACTGATGTGCCTTACTGATTCACACCGGCCATGCTTCATGATAGTGATGCCACTTTTGCTATTTAGTGTTAATAATATCGGCGGCAACAGCGATGTGTTATGATAATGTTGTTTGTGATTAGGGTTTTCGAGAAGTCGTTGCGAAACGGTATGTTGTTGCGTGTCTATAGGAATGGAGGCAATCGTTGTTTGGTAATTTCTGGTGACTGGTGTCCGTTATTCCTGGAAGTTTCGACGTTGCGTTTCCCAAGCCTATCTTGGTTTCTGGTTGGCTGCTGCGGCTGCTGGTTTGTTGCTGCTGGTTGGCTGCTGTAGCTTGGGTGCTCCTCCTGGTTGGCTGCTACTGCTTTGTTGCTGTTAGTTTATATTTGTTATATGTGTTGGTTTGCTGTTGGTTGGCTGCTGCCGGTTGGCTGCTGCGGCTGCTGCCTGCTGCTTGCTGCTGGTTCGCTGCTGCCGCTACGAAGCCTACTCATTTGCTGCCGGCTGCCGGTCATTGTTGCACAGACCCTAAGACTAAAACGGTGTCATGCTTTAAGTTAAAACCTGTTTGGTGAAATGCGGTGCCCCATGCGGAAACAAGCAATGCAAGGACTTTGGCGTGACTTAGTCGCGGCGTGGTGTTCCAGTGTGATTTGCTTGCCACAGCTGCATTCCAAGGACTATCGCGTTTGGGTGTACTTATGTTTTTTTGTTTAAGTCTGTTTTTTAGTCTTTTGTTTCTTCGTGTTTTTTGTTTTGTGCTGCGTTTACGTGCTAAAACCAAAGCAAGAAAAAGGTTGAAGGACATCACATGTAATCAGACTTGGTGCCAGAACAACTGTCAAAATATTGTTGAAATGCACATGTCAGGCAGGATAGTTTGTCTGCACATGCGCAAACATGTTTTTTTCCAGTCGTTTCTCGGTATGGATTGCTTACTGGATTGCTTGAAGTAAGGCAACTCCCCACCTGACAGGTGAACGTTGTTAGAATTTATCAGGAATGTCATCTTCTCCCCCTCCTCCTCCTCCCCCTCCTCCTAGTAAAGTACAATTTGTTTTTGGGGCAGTGTTTTCGTTGGCTGAGTGGTTGTTAGGCATCCAACAACATTCCCAAGCTGCCCAAGCGGTTCGAAACCACCAAATCCATCCAAATGTATCCAAACCCATATTCTGAATGCGCCAGTTGGACTGATCATCGCCCCTGCATGTGGCCTCTTCTGAGGCGGCCAAACGGCGATGCTTTTTGCGCTCACGAACCACTGCGAAGAGGTTGGCACTCGTTCCCGGGAGCATTGACTGGTATTTCAGACCTGGACTTTGAGTGTTTAGAGCGTTGAGCGACCTTCCTCTGGAGGGTTCAGTGGCTACTTTGTGAGTGTTATGTTCATCAGCCTGGTCCACTCAAACGGCATATATTTGTCATGAATGAAAGTGCGCAAACTGGGTCACTGGAAACATGAAACACACCCTCTACGGTCAGTGCCTAGAAACTGGGTTAATTCGACCAACTGATGTTTTGACAAGGTTTTTTTCTGAATCTGGGAGACCCCTAATCGCCCTTGGCTTTTCCCGTCAGCTTCCAGCAGGTGGAACTGGGAGGTGTCCCGATGAATTCTACAAAACTGATGTTTTGAGAAACTTCATATCAACAAAAAACCGCCAATCAATTCAAAATAATCACGCGATGGACACAACAATTCGGCCCAGGGACGTGATCTGCCCATTCTGCCCTAATCGTTATCTCAAGTGACCTGTGGTGTGTTGGTGGGTATAATGATTTGACCGTTCTCAGAGGCAAGGTTGGGATATGAAGACTGTCACACCGACTATGAAGACTATAGGATGACTCAAAATAGGGTGAGCGAGCACAGATTTGCAGCGTATTGCCAATGCAGAATTTTCTTACATGTTGCACAAGATTGGCTGGTGACTGGGGAGTGATGAGATGTTGCCTCCCACTGAAAGCAGGTTTCACCAGAGCTCAGAAGTTCCACAAGTTTAGGTTGTGGCCCTTGGGTGATCGGGCGACAAGCGCAGCACGTGGGAGTTGTCCCATCAGTGGAGGTTCACGTTTGGTGCGGATGGAACACCTGAAAACCCATCTCGATTTTTGATGCTTGAAGTTGAACTAGAAGTGGATGAGCTGGGGCATCCATAGGGGATCATTTGAAGCATTATTGTGCGAGACAAACACGCATTTGGTATGTGTTTTTTCTTTAAACCACATTTCAAACAAGATAACGCCAAAAGTGGGGTGCGGCCGTTGGACGGAGCTGATTGGTTTCCGATTGGTATGGCTCACGATTAGGCTAGTATTTGGGCATCCAGATAGCCGCTGAAGATTTATTTTAGAGCCACACCCATTTCCAACCTTTCGTCCGTGTTCACCAAAATCAGTCAGGGGGTATTCATGGTTCTTTGCGAAGGTGTCAAAGTAACTAAAGCTGGGGCAGGCGTCACAAGCATCTTTACCAGCCATGTAGTCATGTTCATGCTTTTCATCGTATCACACTGAGGTTGGGTCTTGGATGGCGCCCGTATTTTTTTGGGGTGGGCTTTGCATAGGTCTTCGCGAAACGGGTGTCATGTGGCCCGTGTGTCACGAGAAACATCCGGATCAGCAGGTTGTCAAGACCTTGGAAGAGCACGCCGCCCTCCAAGACCGCAAGGCGGGTCGCTTGCGTGCCCCACGGCTGGTCGCTTGAAGTCCAGTATACGATATGATACGATGAGTTTTTTTTTTGGGGGGGAAAGGGTCATTGGTTCGGTGATGTTCCAGTTCGGAGATGAAGGCAAGTCTTTTCGATCTTTTACCCTAGGGCTCCAAATACCTTCTGAGAAGGTGTTTGAGGTGGGTTTAGAGGGTCCAAATACCTTTTGAGTACTTGGAGCCCTAGGGTTACTGAAAGTGAGACAAAGAAGCAAACTGTGAAAGCCACTCTGTTCCAGCTTCCACTGCAGGGAATCCTTTGTTCTCAGTTGGATTTGACCGTTCACCAAACACCTGAACGCTTGCAAATACGCACGCCCTGTATTTGTGTGTTGTCCAACCTGGGGGGTTGCCGCAAAACGATCAAGTTGCAGCGTATTGATTGCAATTCAGATGTTCTTGGTTTGGTTGGACAGGTTTTGTTCGAATTCTGGTTCCTATAACAAGTGCTAGCAATATACATCAGCTCCAAAGATTCTGTTTTTTAGTGTCTTGATATAGGAGTTAGACGTTATTTTTCTTGTTCCTTGCGCCATGGCCCAAGTCAAGTCCCAATGCATCGTGGCAAAACCCAGAAGGTTGAAGGATCAAGGCCTTCCCTGAGCGCAGAAGTCTCATCTGGCAGACCAACAGTCGTTGCCAAACAACTCTCTTAGGCAACTTCGGGTCCACTTGATGTGCGACAGCCCCTCCGATTTTTGATGTGCTTCCTTCGAGACTCTTTCAGGACAATCTAGGCTTCGAAGCATGTCTCCATGCTTTGTGCCTACAAAACACTGCAGTTTACTAGGCGGGAGGTCTCTCAGCATCAGCAGCTGCGCGTCACAGCGCATCTTCGACGGAAGAGACCTTGCAACTCGCATGCCCGGGACGAATCCCGGCGGAGACGACGAGCAGAACGACCGACGGCGGGTCGATGCGGGTCGCGTGTGGACACCTTGTGGATGCCCCTGGTACTTGCAGTGGGACATTGCAGTGTTTTGGGGCCCATGCATTTTTTTTCAGATCCGCAGTTGGCTCCGCGTTCGACGTTGAACATACCCAGACACTCCATGTATGTATCGGCCTAATATTGACCCCCCCCAATCCACCCTCGACTCACTGATGGGCAAAAGTGTTGAACAGTCCCAGGTCGTGTTTGGAAGTGTTGAACACACCTGTTGGGCCGTAGATGCCCGGACGAGCTCGTGTTTTGGCTGCGGCAGGCGGAGGAGTGGGGACCCTGAGTTGAGACGTGAGAGTGTTTTTCTGGCGATGGATAGAGAGCCTTCCCATGACCACCAGGATGGCATATGATTGTTGTTGTTTCGGAATGTTTACAATTAACTTCACAACCATCAGCCACCAGGTGTTCATCCGTGTTCATCCACCTCCCCTGTCAGGTTCACTGCTTTCTTAGGGCCACAACAGAATCTAAGTTCACCAAGTTCCAGCTCGGTCTTAACGGCAGATGCAGTGAAGGGGCCCGATGTTCTTCCTTCTAGCGACCAGCTGGCTCTTCCTTGCAGAGCACCTACTGAGCGCTTGCGAGTTCGTCGAGCGCCAAGTATCAAGAATCTCTGACCCCCGAATCAGCTCTTTCGGGACGAGACTGGCATGTTTACGGCCTACATGTCCGGTGGAATGGGCTTCCGGGGCGGGTGGAATGGGATTGGAACCCGAGTTGTACAACTCGGGGTGATTGATGGACCTGAGGTCTGTCTGTGGGCAACGAAAAGGGACTTCCAGTCTCATTGGTTTTGCTTGGGTCAGAGATGCTGGTGCAGTGGGAGATGTTGTTCAATGCACATAGGATTTGTTCGCACGCTGGAGACAATGAGGTCGAGCGACCGAATGGAGGTGGTTTGAGGGGACAAAGTATCTACCAGCACCTTCACAGTGGTCACCAATGGAAGCCCCTACTAGTACACTATTAAGGGACCTCCATTGCACACCCCTTGAAGGTCCAGGTATATATAGTTGTTTGGATATTGCACCGCAGTATCCTGGGGGTGCGTTCGTTCCATCCAAAAACTGTGATGGGTCAGTCTGTCATAACGTTTCATGACCTTTGTTTTCTGACTTTCAACACTGTTTGTACCTGGTTGGTGTTTCAAGACCTGAAAGCCTGGGATGGTTCATCCCAAATAGCAAACTTTGAACGTATATATTGTTATTTATACAAATTAAATTGCGTGTTTCAGGTGGGTTGAGGCTTCGAAACATCTCCCCATTGGCCCACCCACACAGGCTTCGAGCACAGCTATACTTTCCAAAGCTGCCTCTAGCCATGTGACGTATGCACCTCAAGTAGGGCTATATGCACATCACCTCACCTTTCGCAGAAATCACCGACCCCACACACGACACGACACTCCGGACTGGAAGGGCCATATGCCGCCCCAGAGTTGTCGTCGTCAACGTCCCGGGTCTTGATCGGTCGGTATGTGAGTCCGGAGCCTTTGGGAACTCTGCACAGCGCCAAACCGCGCTCAGGCGTGCTTCCAGAGTGGGCACACAGGTCAACCGTCAATGTCGGTGGTATATCGGGTGGTGTTGGGCGGGCATTTTGGAGGAAATTACCAGCACCACCCAGTTTGGGGGTGTGTCACGGGGTGTGTCATTTGTTCACCCTCCCGAGTAGGCATTTGTCTTTCTCACCACCCGAACTGGGTGGTCCGTCGCTTGTTTAGCAACAGCAAAAAGACAGGGGCTGAAAGGGATCGCATGCCTCCGGATCGTGCCTACGAAGGAGCTCGCGTGCCCGGCGCGCCCGAACATGTTTGAAACCTCCACACCTGGAGACCCACCCCCAGAGGAAATTGTGGAGCTCACCACACCTTTGTAGAGAAGGTACTTGAACCCTCCTGGTACCTACTTGTCTCAGTGTCTCCCTGCTCACCTTACCTGAGGTTCACTGCCAACTGGATCTGTTCACTGCTATCCACACGACTGCCTGTATGATTTTTTGTCCCGGTCAAGAAGCAGCAAGACGGACGACCCTCAAGAAGCAAAAACGACCTTCCTTCAAGGAAACGGAGCCTTAAAATAGGATGTTTGAGGGTACTAAAGCCATCTCATAATTACGTTCTCATCATCAAATGGCAGTGGGGCTGCAGGTCAAAGATCGTCATAGAGTGAGTCACGTCAGTATATTTGTTTGATGGACATTGACGGACATTTATGATTTGGATTCTCTGAGACCACCAGTTGAAAAGTCACTGATTATATTATACAGTATACATATCAAAACTTTAACTTTTAACCTTTAACTGATATTTAATACAACATGTAACATGTATATCAAAGCATATCAGAATGGCAGTTGATTTATCAGAGCATATCAGAACCCCCAGTTCACTTCTTCTATCTTCTACTAGTTGAGATCGTGTAAAAGTCAAGGCCACCAGCTTCAAATCGCCAGGCGCCAAGCGTGGCACCGAGCCCGGCGCCGAGCCTAGCCAGGCAGAACTCATGTGGTTGGAGGGTGCTTCTCCCCGGTTTGGTGCAGCGAATTCCCAACCCTCCAAGAAACATGGTTTTGTGCAGTTCACCACACCTGTTTCGTGGAGGATTTCATTTGTTTATTTTTCAGGGTCTGAACTGCAATTGTCCATGATTGTTTCAGGGGAAAAATTGTGCAAGTTCAGGGGTCAGCCTCCACCATGGCGCCTCAGCCTCCAGAGCAATGATGCATCCTGTTGATTGACCAGTATTGGTGAATGTATCATAGAATGTTGACTACTGTACCGACCCCAAATAAGAGGTAGCACCACAGTCCCTTCTTATGTTTTTTTTTTTTTGTGGTGATATACCGGCGATATATATATATAAACACATATTGTATTATATATATATATATATCGCACCAACGATCAGAAGTGTCGGAACGGAGTGCGCTCATGTCTTGTATTTTTGTGGATGAAGATTGCGTTTTTGGACCCAACAAATTGATATACACCCTGGAAAATTAACATGGAACTTGAAAACGTAGAGGAAAATCATCTTCCAAAGGTCTGTTTTCAGGTTCCATATTTCCTCCCGGGTGTAGAACTGTCATTAGAGCTGTATAGCTGCATGCGTCAAGTTCCTCTGCTGATCACGTTGATCAATTTGGTGACCTAAGTGTTTTTTCTTTTAATTTTCCTTGGCCACAAATCTTTGGGCTCACCATCCTATGGCTCAGTGGTAGAAATACAAAGATAGGAATTCCCCAACCCCTTCTGTGCCCGATCAAATGTCATTGATAGGAATTCCGTTTCGGAAGTAGTATCAACCTTTTCGGACTTGATAGAATACGGTATTCAGATCAGCCAAAGATAGGCATCAACGTATATATTTGCTCTACATCCGAAAAATCAACTGCCCCCTGGCGGACTGGCGCGTTTTCGCTCGAAAACCGGAATCAATGCACAGGTGCGATGAGACAAAGCCTTTCATGGGCCAGGCGCTTGCAGAAGACTCCTGCGACAAGGTTCTCAGACTCCAAACTCCTCAGGAAGACCCCTTTTTCGATCCAAGGGCACCCTCCACCGGACATGGAGCAAGCGGGTCAAAAGAGCAACCCCCTTCTCTCAGGCCCATGGGATGCTTCAATTTGAGTTATTGTTTTTTGCAAGGAGCTTTGTTCTTTACTCACTGGGGCCTCGGTAGGTTTTGGGCTCTAAATGTTTGGAGTTGTTACTGTCAGTTCTTGCCAAAAAAGCAGCTTAAAACTTTCATGCAAGTGCGGTTGGAAGAGCTCTTCTCGATTTGTGGTGCCAATCTTACAACATGTGGCGAGAGAGCATCCTTGCCCATTGTGCTCTGCATCAGCCCCGGATCGCATTGATGGATTGATGTAGCTCAGAACAGACACCAGACACTCCATGGATGTCATATTCACCAATCAGTTGGGGTGGTTGACCTGGGGTCAATGTATAGACCTATCTTCGGGACGTCCCATTGGTCGTGTTGAGGGACTCTTGGCCTCAACAGGCAGGTGCAAAAACGGTCTTCGTCCATCGAAGGAGCTCCGAAGGGTTTGACTCCGGAGTCAGAGATCATATCTCGAGCTCCATGGGTCAACTGGCTGTGGAAAGCATTGTAGAATCAGCTTTGCTGTGTGGAGAAGAATTAACATAGATAGTAGTTACACTCTGACTCACTCACATGCAACTGGAGAATGGTCCCGTGGAAGACTACTTTCCTCTACCAACAGGGGGCTTTCCACTTCCATGTTCGTGAGTCAGAGTGTAACTAACATAATTATACGTTTCATGCACATGATCATGTTGGTTGTACGAATGAAGAATCAACTTCATGAGTTACGTCAGCAGTATGGGTCTCATGGAGCACATGTCCAGACCAAAAAATGGATCGAAGCGTGTCACAACACAACGTCCCTACCCAGTTTGGCCTGATAGGGCCCCAGGTTTACCAATTGCCATCACAAAATGTTTGGCTTTGCTGAAGCAAAAACCATAGGAACACTATAGATTACATTACAGACTACAATCCATTGGGTCTGGATATGTGGGTTCTCCCTCTTCCAGAGGTGTGGCTGAAATTGACTCAAATGGACGTTTCAACTCATTGGTGGGGGGATCGTGGCGGCGATCGCCAGGTGCGTGCTCGCTTTGTGCCGGATCTAAGCTCCAATGCGTATGGCGAAAAGAGATTTGAAGGTCTGAAGCAGAAGTTCAAGGGTACATGTTACATGGATGGACAAAAAAGATAAAGGTCCCTGGCAAGCTAAATGTCGATCAGAACAGGCAACATGTTTGTATACTCTTGGTGACTTGGTTGTCCAAAGGAGTACAAGCGCCCCCAAACCTGGAGATGTCTATTATCATTCTGGGGTAGGGGGTTATGATTCAACAGTGTATTTTTACTCTCCACGTGGTCACGGGAAAGTAGTGTCCACGGAGTATGTCCAATGTCTTTACTTCAGCGTGGAAGCTCGGTCCAACGTGGAACCTACGGATGCCCCGAACGGATGGTCGACTGGGGGAACTCGACGAACGGGCAACCGTTTGCAGTTCCCAGAAACCGCCGCCTCCGGAGGAATCGGACGAGCACTCGGTGAGCTGGGAGGGTTTGTTTGTATATGCCCTAGGGCTCCAACCATATCCTCAGAAGGTGGTTAGACCCCCCAAACCCACCCCAACCACCTTTGAGGAGGTGGTTGGAGCCCTAGGGATACCTTCTTTCCTGTTTGGGTGCTTGGACTCATTCTCAAAAACAAGACAGTGGATGGTTGGGTGTTTGCGGCTTGCGGCTGATACATCTCAGTCCCACTGGAGCAGCCACCTTGGCTCTGCTGAGAGACGAAGACGACGACTCGAGAACATGTTCACCATGACCCAGTGAATGCCAGAATCTGGTTCTGTAGTAGAGTGGTTAGTCAGACGATGTCCTTCACCTATTCCGGGGACTTCATGGAAATAGCCTGTTTATGCCTGTTTACATACATTTGACATGTCTCGTGTGGCTTCAGGAATGGTGTGGCAGGGGTCAATGTTTTCAGTAGAGATTCCATACATGGAAAGTTGAGGTTTCGACGAAGCGAACACATGCAGCAGAAAGCGGATTTTTTACCAGAAGGCAGAGACGCTGCACATGGAGCAGATGCAGCCAGGAGAGGCATTGTGGGTTCATGTTCAGGGATATTCTCATCCCCCAGGCACAGGGATCCAAGACAGTTTGCCATAAATCTCTCCCTGAGCCCAGAAATTTTAGTAAAACCATTCGGCGCCTATGAAATCCACAGTCTATCCCAGCCCATTCTATTGTTCTGCAAGAAAGGCTATCGCGATGACTGGCAATGCCAGGATTCTGCATGCGCTGTGCACGTCGTTTCTCCTGGGTTAGGTCCGTAAGAGTTCCAGGATCGTCTCCGCCGTTTTTGGGCGGATGACACCCGGCTTACTTGGGGATTGGGAATGAGTTTGGGATCGTTCTTTGGGGTGGTTTGAGGGGTCAATGTGGGCAAAACAAATCCATGCAAGGAAAGGTTTGGGTCACGCTGTAGGGTTTTCGCGTTTTGTACTTGGATCTTGTCAAGCCTGCACCTGTTGGCTCGAGAGCCAGGTAGGGTGTCCAGGGTGTCCGTTTGAGCCAGGTGCAGAGCAAGTTGAGTACACTCCCAGTTCAAGATGGAACAACGGACGTCTACTGAACCGTCCGCGGTGTTTTAGACAAACAGGGCCTAGAGAAAGCACATGTTTGAACTGATTTAGCATGAAGCTTGGTGTGGTTCGGTTGGTGCACGGTTTCTTTGTTTGTTTGATCCAGCGAGAAGCTTTGTCACCGGCCTGTGTCACTGTGTGCCAAAAGACACCTCAGCCAGAGCTATAGAACGCCATGGCGATGGAAATTCCTGTGCAGTTTATTAGCGGCAAAGTGATTGTGTTGAAAGTGATGCCATACGAGACCATTGGGAAGTTCAAGCAGTCCCTCAAGGCAGGCAGCCTTTTTTTTGCAGAAAACATCTTGCCTCGATGACGTCATCAAGCACCCGGCCCAGCAGATACTGCGAATCCGCCTGGGCTAGATACTAGAAACGTTCTTTGTCACATGCTCTTTGGCTGGAGTGCTAGGACAACCACGACTGAGGAAGTATGAGACAAAGGGTTGGAAGCCTTTTGGCCCTGTGGCACGCTCCTCTTTTTTAAGGGTTCTTCAACCGGGCCTTCACAACCTCATGTCTTCATCCAGTCTTGGCATCCTTCCATATCCTTCCACTTCTTCCATATCCTTCAACTATACTAACTCTCGTAACTCTACCAGTTCTGCTTGGAAGGAACCAACTCACGTTCCATCCATCTCATTCCATCTGGCACCCTTGTGGCCGTGCCTCCTCCGGTCACTCGGTGCCCCACCGGTCGGTCGTCGCGTCGCGTCAGGCGTCCTATCCGCCTTCAGAGGATGAAGTGATTCGGAAGCTGAGCACGGTGCATATGCTCTTGGAAGGTCAGAAGCTCGAAATGGCGGGAGCAAAACGGCGGGTGAAACGAGGTGAAACGAGGTGAAACCGAGGTGAAAAGGTGTTCAGATGAAGCCACGTTGGAGGTTGGTGGGGTTCAGTGCCCGAAATATGGGGGTTGGTGTGGTGTTGTAGATTGATTTTTGGAACTGGAGAATCTCAGGAGCTGTGGCCACAGTGTAAGAGCTGCTTCCAAGGTTGTACACCTGGAAGATTAACATACATGGAACTGGGACATAGACCTTTGGAAGATGGTCTTCCTTCACAATCTATGGTTTTCAGGCTCCATGTGGGTCTCTTCATACTCTTCCAGGGCGCAAAACAAAGTTGCTATGGTCGCATGCTCGCAGAAACACCCAAGCTTCTGGTGGCTTCAAAGGCAGATGCGCATCCACTTAAACAAGAAGCTTCATAGAAATCCATGGCAGAAAATAGAGAACTGGAGAACAATACTTCAGCTGTAAGCTGGAGAAAGCATCATCCTATTAATGATTCCATCCCCCGTACGACCAAATTCTTTGTGTGACGACGGCGCACTCCGGAACGGCGCTCCCTCCCGACCTCCGCACCAGCTCGGACCGAGGAACTTGGAGACGGAGGATGAGACGCACATTGGCTCCGTGGGCCTCTCTCCCAGCGCCCACGTGCAGGTGATGTTTGCCATCCATCCGCCCCTGGAGTGTGCTGAGAAGCCTCGAGTGGCGGAAGCAGGTTCCACATCGTCTGAAAAGACGACGTCCAAGGATGAAGTACTTGATGTGAAAATCCCGGAGACGTGCAGGAGCATTGCGCCTCGAGCTTTTCAAGGCTGCAAATCTTTAGTACGTGCGACTTGGTTGTCGTCCAAAGCCATCAAATGCTTCAAAGGTTGAACCAAAGTTTTGGTTTTGTGCGCTGTTTTCAATCAAGATCATTGAACCGAACCTATGCTATACCTCCCTTTGGTATACTCTTAGACTCTTAGACCCTAAATTCCTTTGGTTTATAAGGCTTATATTGTATTCTGTTCAACTCATCCAAGGACAGGCAAGCATATATGGCTGCCCGGCTAGCCCTCAAGCATGGTAGGTGGACCTTCCTAGTACTGAATGCTGTTCATGTTCGGTGGTCTGCCAAGGTCCCCCTGTTTTGACCCATATTATCTAAAACCATGTTTACGAAATTAGTATTCGCATGTCCGTTCTTCTGGAAGCATGCTCTTCTTCCCCTGTAAAACGATAAGGAAGCAATGGCCAGATGATAACCCCCGATGACTCTTCAAGATGGCCAGCTCTAATTCTTCAGGTGAGCATCCCAAACTCCGTGACGGAGATCCGAAGCTGTGCTTTTGCAGCTTGCAGTTCTTTGATCCGCTTGAACATCCCGGAGTCCGTCACTGAAATCCAATCGCAAGCCTTCAGAGATTGTATGGCTTTGACATCTGTGAGCCTTCCAGATTCGGTGACGCTGATTGGAGAGACTCGATGTTGTGCTTAGTTTTGTGTATTCTTTGGTTGTGTGTTGGATCTTAAGAACTGTGGGCTTATCCCTTATCCCAAGAACTGTGAGCAGTCCAAAGATGACAGCATGGTCGTTCCTGGAAGCAGCAAGGTCGTTCTTTTCTTTGTAGCTTGTCATACACCGTATGTCATATGAGGAGCAGACAAATCCATGTGTTTTGGGTTGGCCCCCCGAATGGGCGGACTCTCCCCATCTCCCATCCCTAAGAGGTCCTGAAGGGTCATCAGAGATGTTTGCCATCACTCATATACTTGTGTTCATTTTGTTTTAACCTGTTTACATATGGTTTTACAATACTTTACAGATTGGTTTATACTTAGTTATGATGATTTCACCTGTTGATGTTTTTGTTGCCATAGAGTTCAATGTTTTCTGTTTTCGAGGATGCACAGGAAACCGGGCTACCAGTAAATGACGACCAGACATGTCCGCCGATCTCATGGGCTTTGCTCCGGTCTTGACCTATACACCGTAGACACCCGTCCGCAGCACCACCTAGTTTGGATGCACGAACTTGCGGACGGTCTGTCATCGACTCGCGCGCGCCCACTTTCCCTTCTCAGGTCGCCTGAGGGGTGAAGGTGGGTGTGAACCAGTGACACGTACCTAGAGCCAGTGGATGGTTTATGGAGCCCCGCCCCACCCCGTGATGCATTTACCAACCATCGGATCCTGGGGTGCTCGGTTAAGGTTCAGGTGGTTGCAGGAAATCGATTCCCGCCAAGTGGAGTGCCTCATGGATTTTCGCCAGTTCCATGAATTCCATCAATCCGAGGCCAGCGCATTTGAGGACTGCAAGTCCTTGTCCAGCATCGTCATCCCAAATGGCCTCAGACGCATTGAAGCTTGCAATGCTCCAAATGAGCAGCCTTTTTAGATCTTCCGAAGATCCCTAAGTGCTCTGGACCGGGCCCTGACATTTTTGCAGAGGAGTTGTGAATAGAGATGGACGTCCTAAAAGTTTGTGTGTCCTAGCCAGCTAAATAGGCAGCGATATCTTATAGCAACTCCCAAATTTAAAGAGTAAGTTTGGCGAACCCCCCCAAAAAGATGTTCATGATTACAAACAAGACAACTGGACCAAGAGTTGCTCTTGTGACGCAGGGAATACACTTTCAGTGCCCCAGTCCATTGAGGAAACCAGTGCCTTTGCTGGTTGCGGCTCCTTGAGTTACTTGGAGATCCCCAGGTCCGTGACTCTCATCGAGAGCTTTGCCTTTGCACGCTGCAGCCGCCTGACATGTTATTTTGTGTGTATATTCATGGTATCTATTGGTATAGGCTGTTTCTTCTGTTTTTAGTGCCTTTATAAATATATATATATATATATTATATGTGTGTGTGTGTTTCTATTTGCTTGATATGTTTGCATATATATATATGCTTCTTGTGACTCCACTCACCTTCCCTGAGGCTCTTTGTCAAGCGTGCGGATCCCCAACTCCGTCACCCGGATCGAGAACTACGCCTTCGCGGGCTGCAGCTCCCTCGCGAGCGTGCGAATTCCCAGCTCAGTCACGCAGATCGGTCGCTGGGCGAAGCGTTGGTGACGGGTTGGGAAGAAATCGATCGGGTTCGACCTGAAGGTCGACCTTCAATTTGACCGTTTTGTCTCAGCATTTTGACCTCAACAATTACCAGTTCAAGCTTGTCTCAATTGGATTCGGATTCTATACACTTTGTGTTTCACACCTCCCTCCAGGCCGCGGGTCGTATCGCCGGGGTCGTATTGGGCGGGTCGTCGGTGTTCCGCCCAGGACCACGCGCCTTTGCGGGCTGCACTCGCCTTAGAGAGGTCGACTTGCCCAAGACCTTGGGAGGCTGTGTGCCTCGGAGAGGCCTTAGGTTTCTTCAGAGTGAGTTTTGTGGTGTGGAGAGTGAACTCACTTCACAACACCCCCAGAACTGCACCCCTTCAGAAGGCAGTCTTTTTCAGAAGGCCAAGCAGCATTTTTGGAGGCTCTCCAAGTCGCAAGTGGCGAAGTCTAGGCCTAGAAATGCTCAGAATCACCTAGAACTCCTGGCCAGAGTTCCATATGTCAGTTCCAAATGTCCGGCGTGCTTTTGGGGTACCTTGGGGTGCGCCACAAAAAAAACATCCAGGGCCGCTTAGATGGAACTCAAAACCGTTCCTTTGGGTCTTAGTTCTTCTATATAGACACCCCCTTACTGGGCGTTACTGGGGTGCTTCATGAACACCGTGTCCTGAGAAACCTGCATTTTTTTCGCTGTTGTCATCGAAGGTCTCTCAGGGAGAAGGCATAGGTGACCTGCCTCGGGATCTCGACCTTTTAGGAAGTTAAACTCGTTTGGGCTCCTGTCCCACAAAGGTTGGGAGAGATGCACACACCTCTTCTCCACCTGAGGGAGGTGGATGAGTCGTTTTGCGGGTAACACCGACCAAGTTGGTTTGAAGTTGGAAAGCAATTCAATTTGGCCGTCTTGGGCTGAATAACTAAGACGGCCAAATATATGATACTTGCTTTGGAGGTTCATGTGACCTTTCAGATGACGGCGACATGCGCAACTTCCATAGCTCAGAGGGTGGGTGTAGGTGAATAGTAAACATCTCCCTGAGGTGCCCATGCGTATCACGCTCACGTCCAAGTCCAGATTCGTACTTGCTTTAAGTAAAACATCTCGTAGGTGCTGCGTTTCTTGCAGGTTGAAGACTGCTATGGCGCCACAACCCAGATGCATCATGCCACTGGTGTATGTCACCTATGCGTACATTGATGTGGTTGAATATATTCCACCTAAAGCCCATTTGACCCCTTGTTATGATGGGAAAAGACAATCCTTGTTGGGTGGTTGGTGGTCCAATGTAGAGGTCACTCAGGCTTCTATAGGCAAGTGCATCTCTCAGTGTCGGGGTGCACGCTCAGGTCAAGCACGTCTTCGAAGGCTGCAGTTCTTTGCCACGAACGCCCAGCGGATCCTTGAGCCCTCCACGGAGCGCCCTGAGCGACGCCAGCGTGTAAGGTGGTCCGGTCAGCTGGCGTCGGCGCAAGTGAGGCGATCGGAGGAGGTTGCGATACTCGTCGTGTTGGTTGATGATCGAATTGATCAGAGTTTGCAACATGTTTGACTCTTGATGAATAAAAGCTCCCCCCGTTGGATAGTGTTTTACTTGGTAAAGCCTCTTCAGGCCTGGGGTGGTTGAAAAATTTATCAAGAGTCTACATTACGATGCACCATGGACACCCCAGCTGCGCTACACCACACGTCCCTTTGCACCCATCAAGCTCCAAGTGTACAGACGCTGAAGGTGCGGAGGCTGCAGAGGCTAAAGTATAGCCAAGCTTAGTCTGTCCGAGTTTTGCCGAGCTTCCGAAGAATGTGAGGTCTAGTACACATATATATATATAACTATGTCAATATGATAATACCTGCAACCTCAAATGATCAAACATATTTTGTGCATTCAGAAATTCCTGTGCACGACACATTTTTTTCAGAGGAAAAAAAACACAAAAGTCATTTGAAATGTACGTTTTTGGATTGTAGCCATTTTGGCTGTATTGGGTGGCATTTTCCCACTTCCAAAGCCTTTCATACGGTGACAAATGAGAACATGCAGCTATGTCAGAAGTAGTGCGATACCTTTGTGGGTCAAGAGGAATGGTGTCCGCTGCTCCCTCAAGAGATTTAGAGTCTAACATTTAGAGCTTGTCAAACCGGCAGGGCTTCACTTTGTTGAAGAAAAGCCTCGCGTGACAAATTTGTTCTACCCGGAAATTCCCGTCAAATACATCTTTACCCGTCCAATACACGTCTTTCCCGTCCAACGCACACCTTTCCCCGTCCACTAGCCTACAGTTACGAAGCTTATAGAATCTGTGGAGGGACATGTAGCAGGATATGTCAGAGAGTGAGCTCAAGAACCACAAGCCACAGAGCATCATAGGCCTAGTTGCAATACCTGACAAATTTGTACCCTTGTGGTTCGTGACTGGTCTCGGGATCCAACTGGACATGATGGATGCCCATTCCCATAGGTGTTTCGCCCACTCGGAAAAAAACATGTCAATGCCATTATACACTAGATCCATTCTAGACCTGAATAGCTGGACAAGGAAGGTGAACACTCTTGAATAAGTATGGACCTTCGGAATGGAAACTCAGCGATACGGCGGGACCCTGTCCACCGGTCCCGGTTTTCACCGGTGCTGAGACTCACGGCGATGCACCGCCACCGGTCGGAGGTCCCAAAAAGCGACCGGTTTACGCGATGCCGGCTGCGTCGTTTGCTCGTTCGATACACGTGTTGTCATGTGTTGTCATGAAAGCGACCATGGAACTCACTTCGGATTCGGGTTTCTCCCAATGAGACTTTCAATCCTGGCATGACGGGCCGTCGGCCATGTGTTGCCGGTCCGGTGAGGGGACCGCACCACCGGACGGGTAGAACGTGACTTCTACCTGACTTCTGGTCCAAGGCGGACCGGCCGAGTTCTGACACAGGATGAGGGATGAGACAGTTCCAAGATGTGAGACCGGTCCAAGAATCCAGTAAGGTGAGACTCCTTTCCCAAATCCTGATCAGGTTATAAAACCACTGAACGCCGACCTGCTTGGTTTTGAAGCAGGGATTGGTACCCCTTTTTGTGTTTTGACACCACTTGGACTTGCAGGACTTGCAGGACTTGGGCCCACACGGCACGGATCGCGGCGTGGCGCGTGGAAAAAAGGGGAGACATCGTGGAGTCACATGCCGCAGCAAAGGAGGAAAGTGGTCACAGGATGCGTGTGAATCCAAACTGGCTTTGCCGAGAACTCAACTGCCTGGACCCTGGCCAGGGCACCCCGAACGGATGGGTTCCGCCGTTGTTGGGCCGAGAAGTAAGTCAGAACACGATGATGGCCGAGGTCTGTGCTTGAAGGAGAAGGGTGTGTTTTGACCCTCTCATGTGGGTCCACAAGAGACCGTGAGGGACACATGTCATGGGTTACCATGGTCTGGTACATGTTCTCCAAGCAACATCCTGCATATCATACACCACTGGTTTAGTTTTTAGTGGACGATGTCTTTGCATATCTAGATGAGGTACCAACGACGTTGACTGAAGGGTCAGACCAGGTGAGCAGTACACCGCAACCACTTCGGTAGAGATAGCCTTCTCCAACCACTTCGGGCGGGGCAATGCGCCAGAGGATCGGTTTGCTTCAAGATGTGACGAAATGGAGCCCCTACCTGGGCCTTCTTTCGGGGTGTCCTGTTTGGAGGTCCCATCCAGGGCTGGGGCTGGGCTGCTAGCCAGGCAGGTGACTGCGACACGAAGGTGCTGGTACAAGGCCAATTGGTTTGTTTTGAAGCTAAAGATGTGAGAGCCGTGCCCGCCAGCTCCGGGGCCTTGTTTGGAATGACGAAGAGGTCGTGATCAAGGTGGTCAGGGTTGCAACATACTGTTGCCGAGTGCCTAGTCAACCGAAGGTATGCAAAAACAAATGTCAGTTCAGAAACAACCATCTTTTGGCAAAAAACAGTTAAACATGTTTTTTTGGGGGGTATGAATTATGTCAATGACCTCTTTTTCTTTTTTCGATTACCTTTAGCAATATAATATATACTTTAAGTCGCTGGCTTTCTTTGAAAGCCACCGGATCCTCTACGATCGGACCATCAACAGGCTGACAGGTATGGTGTGTTATGCCAACTGAGCTACTGGTCCAGAGAGCAACCGGTCGGTTGGACCGAAGAGGGTGGACTGGGACGAAGGGAAAGGTTGAGAAAGCTGTGTCAATTGCATACCTAGGGTCTGTCCGTTCTTAGCTGTAACAGTCAGTAACCAATTATCATCTTGGTTGTACAAGGCCTTTACTAACCATCATCATTCACTGTTGCAGGTCATAGGATAGACGCAATGCATACCCTCCACTGTTTTGATCACGACAACCATGGCCTGTTTACTTTATATGTGTTTTATCGTTTGAAAACACACGGTGTTTTTGTTTTTGCATAGTTCGGTTTTTGAGGTGAAACCTGTGGGCAAGGTGAACCGAAAGCAGCACTGCAACTTACAACTTTGTGAAGGAAATGTCCCTTTAGAATTCCATTGCATGACTATATTTTGCTCATGATGTTAAGGGACAGTCTCCAAAGACTTTACCAAAAAGTTAAGACGACTGAAGTCGATCGATGTCATGAGCCATCCCTATAACCGATAACCAAACCGAAAAAGGGGCATAGTTGGAGAGCCCTAGCGAGGGAAGACGCATAAATTTTGGTTGTCCTGTCCTCTTTCGAGAATGTTCGAGACAGCACAAGGCATCATAGCAATTGAATGCTCACTGCCAACCCACTGGCAACAGGGGCAGACTTGGAAGACTGTGGCTCGAACACGGAAAGCGTTGACACAGACTGAACGGTCGAGTGATCGGAAGTGCTTGAGTGCAACTCAGCAGAAGAGGGGACAATGTAGGTTTCTGATGGTTTCCCCCAATTCAAGAACCAAGCAGAGCCCCCGAAGGGGTGTTTATTAATAGCCCATTAGAGGTTAAGGGGTGCCCACTAACGAGCCCTTGAAGTGCTCTGGAAAACAAGGGTGTGTATTTGGAATAGGGTGTCGTGATTCCTTTGCTAGTAATTTCAATTCTATACTAGTAAGGCACTTGTTACTGAAAGCTGGAAATGCAACTTGACCGACCCCTAAAGCAAAGAACCAACCAGATGATGTCTTTCCTTCACAGGGCACAAGCAGGGACGTCCCACTCAACCCATGTTTTTTGCATTTTTTTGGCACAAACTGACTGTAAAGAATAAAAAACAACAGATTGTTTTTGTGCTGCTGACATGGATACTACGGCATCCTACCCGGTTTGTTGAGGCTTCCGCCGGCAAAACCCGTTCCAAAGCAGATCGAAGCAGTCCAAGCTGCCGGAAGCCGGCGGCTTCCCAGCGCCATGACGGTGCCGCCCTGCACTTGGATCTTCGCCGAGGATCCCGCCGCTCGGGCTTTGCGTTTCGGAGGTGGTTGGGACGCCCGGTTCCTTTTTAGAAAAGCAGGGCCAATGGTGAAGGAGAAAAAGAAAGGGGGAATAAAAAACAGTTCAGGGACTACACCTCACCCCGTTTTATGGACTGGACTGGTGTTCTTTTTGTATGAGTCTTTTCACCTTAAAGGCGTTCACAGTTCGCCAAGTCACAGTCTTTCCGATCTCGTCGACCCGACCTCCGTCCTTCTTCCCTTCGGTCCACATCTTGAGCCTCCAAATCTTCCAGACGGGTCAGATGGATTCTTTTTGAGGTGGGTTGGACGTGTTCGTTTGAGGTCATTTCCCTGTGTGATACATATAGGTCACAGTATAGGTCACCTGTGTTGCACCGACCTTACAGTGGGAAGAGTACCGTGTGTGTTTTCCGATTGGCCACTGAAAGGAACTAGAGGGAGGTTTACCCGGGACTGTTTGATCTCTGGAACAGGTTTCCACGGCAAATTGGTTGCAGGCTTGCATCAAGAATCCTTGGACATTTTGACAGGGGTTTGGACAAGACATCCCTCTTTTCAGGGACTGGGTTCTTAGTGCATTCAAGTCCGGCTTGGAAGCATCGCCGGGATAGCAAATCCCTAAACTTATGCCCTCAACACTCCATCGGAGTGTACTCCCTTTCACAATTGCAACCACCCATTTGTGGTCATTTGTGTCCATTTCTGTCCAAGGTTGCTCACCATGCTCGTCATCGTGTCCGGTCTTGTACTTGTCGTATGGACCAATGGACCACTTGCTGTACTGGAATTCACCGTCCTTCAAAGGCTCCGTGAATGCCAGAGGCCGGCCGATGATAAGGCCAGGCTGCCAGTGCCCCCGCTTTCTTCCAAGCCGCATGCCGCATGCCGCATGCGCGAGTTGCACTCCAAGCCAGACTCAACCAGAATGAGAGATGCATCTCACAGGGCAGGTGGGCCACTGCCATGACTGTACGCCACCTGCCCTTACGACGCGTTCTCCCGCCATACACGTGCTAGATAAGTGGCAAGACTCCATGCTTGGCCAGCATAGTGAGATCGATATGCACAAAATATATGAAAATAAATATTCCCAAGGACGTCTTCATCCTTGGGCTTACTCAGTGAAAACCCCATCAGCACATCGCTGTCATCTCGAATTTTGGTCCTTCGAGACATATCCTTTGGCTTAAATAATAAAACACCCAGATTGTAATGTGGTCGATCTCATTGGAACTCCAGCTCCCACTGCTCCCACCCAAAATACATCACTCCTCGTGCCTCTCCGGTGATGAAGTGTGCTACTGGCCGAGGTGCAGAATGACGAATTCCAGGTGGGGCAGCTTCACGGTGCTTGTCAGCGGATGGATCGAATGAGGGTATATGTTTGATTCGTCTCGGAGCACAAGGGAAGCATAAGGCTTGCAGCATAAGGGAGCAAAGTGCTTAAACCAGGGAGCAAGCTGTTCAGTGTTTGACCAAGTGTTGTAAGCAAGTTGTTCTAGTTCACGGAACAAGAAGAAGTGTTTGAACCACGTTATTTTGGAGATCAACATAGATCAACCCTTGTTCTTGACCAGAGGTCTATGACTTAGACTTGCTTGGATTTACACGCTTGGCCTTCCAAATGGGCCTTCCAAGCCGTTTGTTTTGTTCATGAATTGATGTACATGGCCTTGTGGACCATACCAAAAATAGAGAACTTTATGTTTCAAAAGAACATGAAGCAATTCCAGAACATGAAGAACATATAATCCAGGAAACTGATGCTGGTATGCTTATATAAGGTTTGGGCTTGTTTCTCCTTTGACCCGCACTCATGCCCTTCACATTGGCCTCTTCGCGCCAGGGCCACTGGGGAAATCCCTTGAGCGCTTACGCCAACGACCGGAACGTGACGAACTCGGACGCCCAGATGACAGACGAACGAGATATCCCAGAGAGTGGATGAGTGACCTATGCCAGACACTTCATGGGGCTGGAAGATACATTGAGGTGGTTTCTTATATTAATATATATATATATATCAACCAGAACCTTCATATCGGGGTCGCCTGGCTGGCAGCCCCAGCCCACTACTGAGAGGGACCTCCAGACAGGACACCCCGAAAGAAGGTACATGGAGTGTTTGGGTATAGAAAACGATGGGTCTTGCAGGCAGGCATCGATCCACCGTCCCCATTCCGCCCACGTCCTGGGACTGAGCGAGACTCGCGGAGCGCTCCCTTCGACTCCTCCTCACCACGCACCCCGACTGGGCCGACCCGGCCGGGCCCAAAACACCGAGCAGCTGGCAGCCCACGGCATCCAAGTGCAGCTTGCGGTGGTGGACATGGGTGGACAGAAGTTGTACGAGGAGTTCACAGAAGGGGCAAGTGATTTGGGACCGAATTGAGGCCGAGCTGGCCTCAACGCCGTGATTCATGGCTTGCGTGGACGCCGGGCGACCAGCCTGAGCCGGAACAACTGAATGTCCATTTGCTTTGATTGGACCCTGCAGTCCTGTTTTCGAGGAATTATCCTTTGCGTGCTTGTCCTTCTTGTGGATGCTGTGCATGCTTCTGAAACTGGCACTGGAGTACCACCTGACCCCGCCGCTCGGCGACGGACAATTTTGCAGGGTTTTGTATGCCTGAGTCTTTGGATGATTCCTTTCACTGCTGCCACATGCCTCCTGTACTCACTGATTATGCATTTTGTGATTCCTTCTGGCTCACTGCTGTGCCTGTCCTGCGAGACGTGCTTCGCATGTTGTGTACGACTTGGGATGACTTACCCCTCCTTTGTCTCCTTGGCAAGTTGGGTGATATGTTTGACTTATCACTTTGAGGCCTATGTTTGTGCGGGCCTGCTGGCTGACGGACTTGATCTTATTTAACCGCCGCTGGCGTGTTCCGCCGGCTTTCCAGGTGGCAAGGCCATAAGGTAAACAAAAGCAGACACGCAGATGAAAGACACATGCTTGTAGCAATTTGAGCACGGGTTTGGAAAGAAGGGGTAGAAAATGCCTGCAGTGGAACACAGGGTAGTTGTTTATCTATAGAAGAGTTTGGCATCTTAGCGGACAGGTTGGAGGCATGGCAGGAGGAGGGTGCTCCGTGCTGCAGCCTTGATCTATCTTTGGGGCGTACGCTTCGAGGATGCAGGGTGAATGCGGGAGTGCCGTAGAGGATGATGTGTGTGCTGTCTTGGCATAGTAGAGAGGAGAAGGGGGGGAGGGAGGGGGGGGGGGGCGGGGGGAGGAGGGGGGGAGGGTAGCAAAAATCCGCGCGTAGGGGAAAGACTTACAACACAACAGCAACAGGAACATCCACAGAACACGCCGGCTAAAGCCGGCGGATTTGGAGCACGTTCCTGACCGCGATTTGGTCTTGACTTTGTGGTGATGCTGCTGACAGGACCTGGCCTTGGTGGGTTTCTTGACCAGCCGCCTCCTGTTTGGGTCACCTCCTCACCGCTGCTGTTTCGTGGCAGTACCGGGCACGGACAAGACTGATCTTCCGCTGCCGTCGTTGTCCGACGTGTCGCCGGTACCGACAGTGTCGCCGGTGGTCCCTACGCCGACGTCGCCGGCGAGGGCCGAGGCTCATCCGGTGTACGCCATGACGGAAGTTGTGCCGTATATTGGAGGCGGCGAGTGGTGGCATCCATTTGCCTTGAGCATCTATGAATGGGGAATCCAGAGTCAAATTGACAATGCATTGCGGTCGCAGTCGCCACATGTCCGACATCTTACGCAAGACGCTTTTGCACAGGCCCACTTTCGCATGAGAGGGTTAGACCACATTGCGTACTTAAACAGGAGAATGAACAGATTTTAAAAGGAACATATTTATAATATGTAGAAACGTTGGAGCCAACATATTTACATAATTTAAATTTTTGGTCCTCTCATGCAACTATTTCCTTGGTACATAATTTACATACTTGGAAGATGAAAAGGATTAAAAGTAACATATGTATAATATTTGTTTAAGTTTTGGGACCCGAAGTCTATAAATATTTCAAATATTGGGTTGTCCCGGGTTCCTGGAGCAATTATATGTTATCCTGGAACAATTATATGTTATAGATTATAGATACTATTGGTGGCATTGGTTCTGGTGCATTCAGATGATGACGATGCCTGTGAACGCAATTGGGTCGATTGCCGACCATCAAGCAAACGATCCTGTATCATTGTATCATTACACACATCACGCTTCCATGATGGACGTGATCAACATGGGCCTTGGTTCTTGAGAGTTTTCCAACGAGCAAAGTTTTGAGATATCCTCACTAAATAGTTTCACTATATATATGTTGTCCACGAAGGTCGCGCATGGCCGGATGAGTCGGATGAGTCTGGGATTGAGGCTTTCTATGATATACTTCTACATGCATGATATAAAGCTTTGGGATCTGAAAACAGGAGGAGGCTGCGAAGCTTGTGAAGGAAGAGATGGAAAGCAGTGGACAGCTTGGCCTGAGTTCACCCGATTTGCGTGGCATTGGCACGGCACTGACATCGCCTCGTGGACAAGACGGAACCATCCTTTGCCCCGACTCAATCTTAGTTTACGACGTGGCCGCCTGCTGTTTTTCGTATGCTAACCATACGTATGCACACTATCGAGAATCAGCAATAGTTTTTTACACAAAAACTGTGCATTTCTATGATTATCACCACTCCAGCCCCCATGGCACCCCTTTTGTTGGACTCAGGGGCCTAAGTATCTTCCAAAAAAACGTTTTTTCTACAAAACAGTTTTTCTATAGTTAGATTCAAGATGAAAAATTGCTGGAAAAACATTTTCTAGGCATCTTGAATCTTGAATCCAGGTCCAAAGAACTATTGTTTGGAAGAAAACTATTTGTTTTAGAAAAATATCGTATCAGGGGCCTAAGTTTTTTCTAAAACTATTTTTCTAGAAAAGAACTAGTTGTTGTTTAAGAAAAACAACTATTTTGGGGGGACTTGGATTGAAGGTTCTAGATTGAAGCGAAAAAGTTTCTCAGCAATCTTGAATCTTCAACCCAGGTCCAAAAGTAGTTTGTCTGAAAAACAAACTGTTTCTAAGCATCTTCAATCTTGCAATCCAGGTCCCAAAAAAACTATGTTTTTTTTGGGAAACACCTAGGTTAAAAACGGTTTGCCTCCAATCTGTGCATTTATATATATATATATGGTACCCCCCGCACACCTGACACCGAGGCATTAAAGCATGGAAAAAAAGGTGGGCACCTCATATACACATACATATATATATATATATGCCTACATTGACCCCTGAAACCCATCCAATGCATGTAAATATGCAACGCATGGAGTGTTTGGGATGTATACTGTATACATGTTTGGACGATCCAGTTCGTTCCCCAGAACACAGGACCGTACTCAAATAGGAGCACACGTATAGGACTGTACTCAAATATTGTCGATCTATAAAATGTCGGGCAAGTGATTCCAGTGTCTATAAGCACGGAGGATTCCTTTACATATTTTCAGAATGTTGTCTCGTCAGGGCTTTCTGAGGGCGGCCACCCCTTTTTTTTATTCTTCGGTTCGTCGTCGCTGTTCCCAAGGCGATGCCCAACGGCTTCCGACATCATTTAATGATCCGCCGCCTGGCGCTGCGCGTCGACGGCAAGTCCGGCGAGTCCGGCGAGTCACGCGTCCCGTGGCCGCCGTCGCGGGTCCGCGTGGCGTTGCGCCAGGAGCGGCGGAGGGAGGAGTGGGTTCAGTGAACAAAGGAGGAGGGATTATACCAGCACTCCCGAGTCTACAGGTTGTCTACAGGTCATCATTGAGAGCTGTTAGGGCCCAACAACCCTCTACAGGAGACCTGTTGCAGGATGCTGGTAGATGGTTAGTCTGGTTAATAGTTGTAATAGTTCAAGCAGCTTGCTGACATGGCGGAACTCAGACTGTTTTAACCAATGTTGCACCATCGTAAACTCAACCATCAACACATGAGCGCTCAAGAGCAGGCTGGGTTGATTTGAAGAATATAACATTTGAAGGAAGACCGTCCACATATGTCCACATAATAATTTAATATGGGTGCATTTGAGTATTGCATACACATGTTTTGCCGTGGTTGCTTGGTGTTGGATGTTTGTAACTTGCACCTTCCCTCACAGTTGTCCGATTCCCCATCCTTCACCTATCAACAAAAACTTGGATGAGATTCACATGATTCACATGGAGCCTTTCCTAGAGAATATGGGCGATTTCGAACCATCCCCGGCAACTCCACCAGCCTTTCCCCAGGAGAACGGCCGGGTTTGGCCCTGGGCATGGCCGTCCGAAGGGCTGCAGGCGGTGTGGGAGCAGGGGTGCTTTGAGGTGGATGGCGAGGGAGATAGAAGCAAGCATGTCGAACACCATGCGCCAAAATGTAGCTTGCAAAGATGACATCTACACTTTCGTGTGTTGTTCCTTCGTAGTGAACAAGTCATAAGTTTTGTTCTATAGTCATCTAGCTATAAGTTATAATCATATGTTTTAACGCTGTTGTTGTTCCTGTTTTATGTTTGGCTCTGTGGCAGAGTGTACCTGCCTCCGATTGTTCCACATGTCAGCTGGCTCCCCACCGGGGCCCAAACGAGCGCGAGCAACGCACGGCGGACAGAGCAACGCACGGCGCAGCTCATGAGCCAAGAGTCCTTAAGGGTGTTGACACTCCCTGATATAACCATATATACACATATATATATATATATGGTTTTGTGGATTGAACATATTACATATACATGTTTGGATATTGGATGATATTCGCATTGAACATGGTCATCCGACAGACCATGGCATCCCACAGACCATGGCATCCACTTCCATGATGTTTTCAGGGTGTTTGGGCTTTTGATAGAACTTCCTTGACATTGAACTCCCTGATCCAGGGATCAAGACAGCCTTATCGTGAATATCCGTGAAGCCCTATATGCATTACAATAGGGAGATAGACCAGTCTCAGGTCTAAGCGATTTCTCACTTCCGTCTTGTGGTTTAAAGATACCTACAGAGTCTTAAGTGACCTTCTAGGACCCTACAGGGGTACCTATAGGATAGTCTATAGGGTTCTTCAACCTCTGCTGGTAGCTATAGTCATTTCCATCAACAGAGGGGTTGCCGCCACGACCGGTCAGATACGACCGGACGACCTCCCTCTGTGTTCAAACTCGATGGATCCACCGGTACGACTGGACGTGCTTTCCGGGAAAGCAGGTCGCAGGTTCTTGAAAGGAAGAACCGAAAGCCGGGAAAGCATGCCGCAACCTGGACCCGACTTCAAGTATACACTTGAAAATAGGACATATATGATCCTATTTTTAAAGAATAAAGACATTATACCAGCACCTTCATGTCGGGGTCGCCTGGCTGGCAGCCCCAGCCCACTACTAAGGGACCTCCAGACAGGACACCCCGAAAGAAGGTCCAGGTATAGATTCTCCTCCTAATGTTCTCCCCATGTTCTGAGGTATAAATTGACATTCGATCGAATCTCGTCGACTCGGCCCCCACATCATCCGGTCGGAGTTCGGTCGAGTTCCGCCGCGTGACGTCGCCAGCAGTCGTTCACATGACCATGGGTGCGTATACCAGGTATCTTGAGCCTTGGAAAGGACACTTCATCTTGGGACCATCCAAATTCATGTGCTTCATTCCTTGTGACCTGCACAGACTTGTGCTCTTAGCCAGACTTGTGCACATCAGCTGCAGCCAGCTGTTTCACAGCCAACAAGACCCTCCACCCAATGGCTGCTGACGTGCAGCCCTGCAGCCCGTCTGCTGGCGACACGTCTGCGTCAGCCAACGCGTCCGCGTCTGACTCGGACGTGTCGGCTGCTCAGCTGAGCATTGCCGTGCAGTTCATGAGTGGCAAAGTGTTGGGGGTAGATGTGGTGCCCGAGATCACCATTGGTGAGTTGAAGGAGACCTTGAAGGCAGGGGACAAAGGAGGCGGAGTTCACGGAAAACGGTGCGTATTTAAATCCTGACACCAACTTACAAATCTTCCTTTGCTAGTCCAGTGGTGATGGGGGGCTTCAGGAGAAAAACACCCAAGCCCTGTTTGCTGGATGGGATCTGGTGTTATGATGAAGCTTTGAATATGTCTTCGCGAAAGAGGGAAGTTCACAAGCAAAGCTGGCAAGGTACTTGACCGTTTTGGCAGCCTTCGATGCTTTGTGAAGATTTGGGTGTGTGTATTTCAATAGGGAAAGACCCGAAATCTGGCCCCTGGCGGGGTCGTTCCTGGGAGTCTTTTGGGAGGTCCGCCTATGCAGCAATGCCGATGTGATGGGATGGTCTACAAGATGTAACGATTCTAGGCGGAGCTTCACCCAGGAGCTTTTGTGGCAGAACCTGTCCACATCCCGTTTGGTCGTCAGAAGGTAGGGACTGACCTCAGTGGCACCCACTCTAACCACCTTTGCCTGAGGCTGTGGGACAGGAGCCCGAGAGGGCCTATAGGGAATATAGTGCTGGTGTTTTTCTTGGTGGAAAGCCTGGAAAAGACATGTCAATTGGGCCTTAAAAAAGAGGGCAATCGGAATCAACAACCATAATTTGGAGTGTGTTTGAAGCAGCTTTTGTGTCTTCGAGTTTGAGATATGCAGTTGCTCTAAGTGTTCCGTGTTCCAGATATGTTCAGGTCGCTGCTTCAACAAACCTCACAGAGCCGGAACTGCCCCAAGAGGTGAAGACATGGCCACATGGCAGGCATGGCATCCATCTGAAGACGAGCTCACTCGCACCTTGAGTGCTGTGCAGATCATCCTGGATGGACAGCCGCACGGCCTGGGAACTCGAACGGTGGATCTTCTTCGCACGGTGCCGGATGACGGATGGCGGGATGGTACTTCATGATACTTCAAAGGCAAAAACACATGTTCAAAGGAATCAATCATCATTCATCAAAACACTGGTGTTTTCAGCAACACCACTGACAGGAGGAGGAAAAAACGTGATGTTCCATGACGTGGAAACTGGTATCAAAGTATTATAATATAGACCGTTTTCTCGTCCAAGTGGGACGCTAGTGTGGTCCACCACTTGGTCAGTGTGGTCCACCGGTCCAAGAAGTGTGGGACTGGTCAAAAGCTCCACTTCAGTCTGTCCACTTCTGAGAAGGCCTGGATGGGCTCCACTTCACTGGCTCCCTTCCTTCAGTCCAATAAGGGCACGTGCTTCAGTGACCCCGTCACCGAGAGCGAGGCTCACTCGGTTTCAGGAACTTGGTGGACGATGATGCGACGGTGGACACCGTGGGGATCTCTCCAACGGCACAAGTGCAGGCCGTTCGGCGATCACTCAGGCTGTGAGGCGAGGCTGTGAGGCTGTTCTGGGGTTTCCTTTGATAAGAAACAAACTGGGATTGAAGCGAATTTAAGAGGTGAAGAGGAGCATCATATTGTGTAAGATAGGGCTGCAAGGGTCCTGTGGGGTCTAACTGTCTAACTGTCTAGCTACCTTCTGAAGATGTGGTTGGAGCAAGAGGGAAGTACATGGTAGAGGTTTTCTATTGATTCCCATTTTCCATTTCCCTACTAGAGTCTCAATCAACAGAATCACATTGTCTTCCCTAACTCGTTTCAAATTACAGGTGGATGCACAGATACGGCGCCGTTCGACTTGCCCCTGCCTCGTCCGAGTTCTGTGCCCGTTCCTTTTTGTTGGGAAGGCAAATCAAGAACACCTGATTCGGTTCACTGCGGCTGTGGGATGCCTTGGATCACTGGCAAAATGGGCGCCATTGGATACCTCAGCCAAAAAAGAAGGCTTGCTTAGGATACCTCAGCCATAGGATACCTCGCCATAAGAAGTGCGACATCTCCGTGGTGGAAGTGGTACCAGGTTGGCTGGAAGTTCACACACAAAGATCGGTGGATTCTGAGGGATCCGTTGACTGGACCCTCCTGGCACCTACAGAATAGTGTCTCCAATCACCGTACCTGAGAAGACACGACTGGATCCCTAGGGTATATACCAAATCACTTGGATTTCCTGGTTCATTCGAGCCTCCGTCCTGCTCACGGGCTGAGGTCTTGTTCACCACGAACCCCACGGTGGAATGCAGCTCAAAATGGGCCTGTGAAGAGCGTTCTGTAGAACTGCGGGATGTGCGCATTCCTGATACTGCAGCTTTGGATTGCTCAGCCTGGTTTTGCTTAAGGTGTTTTGCGAAGAACTGGTAACTGCAAACGCGTGTGTCTTCACAGTTTTTTGTTTTTTCATGATGCATATGGGTAAATAGACGTCTGGCGGATATGATACGTTTGTTTTTTGCAGGTTTGTAAGTAAGTGAGTATGTAAGTAAGTAAGTAAAAAAAAAAGTAAGTAAGTAAGTAAGTAAGGGAGCTCATGCGCTGCGCATGCTGCTGTGGGACTCTTTATTGAGTTCGTCATGAAGCAATGGTCAAAACAGCCTTCAGTTCGTCTTTCAACGAAGTGCGAAGGCCATGGGGCTTGAGCTCGCGCCAGAACTCGCTCATGCACTCTGCCAGTCAAAAGATGGAGGTGAGTCAACCCACAAACAATAACAAAAAGTAACATATGTGTCGAGAAGAAATGGGTCTCTTGAACACTCCTGAAACTTTCAGGCTTGACCTGTGGATGATGAGCCAAACATCGGCATGGACGGCGGTGTCGGCACCCCTTGGGTTTGTTCCAAGAGCCTCTTGTACAAGAGGGGGGTGCGCTAGTACTTGGAAACCATGGTTGGATCCTGATGAGTAAAAGGATGTAAGAGGACCTCCCATTTGTTAGAGGGAGGTCGGAGGGGATCCCTTTTACTCATCAGGATCCAACATCAATTAGGTGCGCCCTTGCGCATTCCTCGCCCCACACACGCCGCATGATGGCCCCTTTGTCAGGTAAGGCTTCTTGTGCCAGATGCCTTCAGTCACTGCACCTCTTTGCAGCGCGTCCACATCCCCCAAAGCGTCACGGAGATTGGGACCAATGCCTTCGCAAGCTGCGGCTCATTGACCCGTTTGGCCACTCGGTTGGAAGCATATATGCTGCTGTTCTAGTGGTCCATTCCTATCCCAGTTCACTGTAAAAGTTTTCAGAGGATGGCCTAAGTATGTTTAAGTCACCAAGCCTTAAGCTTGGTGTTTTGAGTTCAAACAATGTTATTCGAGGGATTCAGGGCCAATATGTGGGGAAAATCCGTCTTGTTCATCCCAATCCCACTTGACATGCATCATATGAAAGTGGGAATGCATAATTCACGTCACCCCCCTATGGAAACTCACTGGCCCAGGCCACGTTCGCCCCATTCGTAGCGTCCGATCGCTCCGTTCGTAGTACGGTAA